GTTTTTTGAATTGTTTTTTCTTTAATAAAAGAGCTTTTCTTTTCAACATTTTTTTCTTCCATTCATAGTAATTATTTTTGGGCTTCTTATTAGATTTATTAGTAATTTCATTTGAAATATTTTCTTCATTATTATTTGATGTAGATGGTGTGTAACTGAATGTTTCATTTTTAGTCGTTTCTAATTTTCTTGATGAACCTTCTTTTTGTTTAATTTCGTTTAGTTTTTTGAAAAAGTCATAATCGCTGGGTAACAATTCTGAAAAGCTACCTACTGAAACGTCTCTTGAGCCCATTACTTTGGAGGTCTTGTAATTCTGACAAATAGTTTTTAAAAAAGCCTGTTTTTTCTCACGAATATTTTTAAGTTTCTGTATATACGCTTCCCTGTCAGCTTTGAGTTTTTGGATAAATTTTTCACTGGTGAGATATATCTTTTGCTGCCTGCTAGCACTGTCCTTTTCTTGCTCCTTGATTTCGCTTATTTGCTTTTGATAGTTTTCCTTGATTTCTTTAACTTTTTGACGCCTGTTTTGAGTCTCTTCTTCCCATTTATGTTCTAATTCTTGAAATCTCCTTTCGCACTCACTTTTTCCATTCTCATTAATATTTATTTTGCTGTCTGGGTTGTTTCCTGGTGCATCGGTATTGGATAAGGCTGGTTTAGGTCGTTTGAGAACCTTTTTACGAAGTTTACTGGGTTCCTTTTTAGTTAGTTTATAAAATTCGGTTAGTAATTTTATCAAGCAAAAATCTTGCACCAAAGTAGTTACCAGAACTTGAACAGTGGTATTTTTTATCAACATTTCGGCCATTTTAAGTAACGATTTATTGTTCTTTGGTTCTTCGACAGACTTTTTAACTTTTTGATAGATATCTTCGAGCTTTCTTTCTTTGAATGGCCCAATAATTTTAGCTTCAAGCTCTTTGGGAGTGAAAGAGTAATTGAATGGATCATCATTATCAGCATCACATATTTCAATGTCATTAAAATTCAAGTCAGGGGCCAGTAATAAAGCTTCATTATTTATGGTAGAATTAAAATTATTTTGTGAATGATAAAGTTCTGGTATCTGTTGTTGCAAATTATCATTTTCAGGAGTTGGAGCAAGAGAGTTCAAAAGAGACAGACCTGTTACAGTTAGCAGGAAAGCTACCATAGAGACAATAGTGCTTTTATCGAGGCTTAATTTTTTGAAACTAAACCCAGATTTAAGTTTCTTTTTCTTAGTTTTCAAGAATAATATTGAACATTTACGGCTTACAGGCTTTGGTTTTTCCTCCAACACTTCCTTGGTGACGTTCTCACCTTTTTCCACGTCAATCTCATCAAGGTTTCCTACAGAATTGGTCTTTGGAGGGGTTTCAGAACCATTGATGACTGTCCACGATGCATCTGGGCTTAGATCCGGATCACTTTTGCCGCTATTAGAGGCCATCACTGGGAATTTTGATTTGGATTGGATGAATGAAACGAAAATGTTTGAAGTTTGAGTATGACAAATGCCAATGATGAGAATGGGTGGCAAGTTTACTACCTTTTGAATTTGACAGGTATTTTCACTGTTCATACCGGAGCTGGTCAAAACATGTAGAACGGAGTTTAGTCGAGACTATGGGACTGCACAATTCAATAAAGCCATGAGAACCAGGCAGTGGGAGACATACAGAACCACGTTGAAAAAGTTCAAGAACGAGCTGAGGAGATCTCAGAGGAAGTACTGTGAGGATATAGATAGTACTCAAGATTGTGCTAGACTACAAAGAACTCTTGCTTGATGATGAGGGCTTCCATGTTAGTTGTATTGGCCTCCTCTGGTCTTGCCATTTAATCCGCAGGATCCTTCTTAGGCATGGTGGTATTTTGCTAGGCTTTTTCATGTGTCTTCTGTAGGTGGTCCATGTTTCGCAGCCATATGTAAGTGTTGGTACCTATTACAACTGCATTGTAGACACGAAGTTTGATGTCAGCGTTAATATTGTGATTGTTGCAGACTCTCTCTAGAAGACACACAAAACTTACCTGGAATCAACATCTGGAAAACACCACTTAGGGCCGGTTTATCAATCAAGGCATAACTCGCAGAGTTTGCTGACCCTGGGTCAACTCTAACTCTGGGCTAACTTCCTAGTTAAGTCGGAAAGTGTTTATCCAATCCAAGCTTTTGTAGTGACTACAGAAATTTTAATCAAGAATAACAAGGACTTACCAAACAACCATCCCAGGAGAGAACATAACTTAGACAGCACAACCAGAAACTTCAATTAAAAATTATCTGAACATCGATATCCAGAAATTATTGAAAGCCGATACTCTTGTTGATTGTCTAATACATTGGAATGTGACTAAAGCAAAAGTTCATGGACCTTTTTTTTTAAGTGCTTTCAACAATTAACATTCCAAAGGAGCCGAAAAATTTCTAAAAGGATCAATGAATCATGCACGAGCCTATATGATGATACCAACTCAACAAACCACTTAGCGACGCCCTTGATAATCAATTAAAAGTGGACCAAATACACTAATTAATCGGATGATTCAACCACGAAAAATCGAGGTCAGAAACAATAAAGAAATTTAAGACAATGGAGGGACCAATGATATTAAAAGGCAACTTTGGCAGGAGAAAACCAGTGTTCGAGAAAGAGCGAGTAAAAGTAAACCGGCAGAACTACTGCGTGAAAGACCAGTCTCGGTTGAGTAATCAAGAAACAAGTAGTAATCGAGAATCGAGACACCTGCGTCCAGAAAGTCAGAACTACGGCGTGAAAGAGTTATCGAATTACCGAGAGAAGAAGCACGATGAAAATATTCGAGTTTTTCATTTAGTGTTCATAATTAAAGTAAATTCCTTCGACCAATAAGATTTCCATGTAATTAGGTATGGCCAGCAGTAAATATATTATTGTTAAATGTAAGTAGAGTTTTTTTTATGTTCAGCCAGAAATTGTGAAGGCAAGAGTGTGAATCGAGTAGAGTGGGGTCTTACACTTTTTTAACCAAGAGCTGGTACACTCTAGGGTTATTCGAAGTTTGGCATTACTTATGCAACGTTGCCAGCTCACTTTTGTCGATTTTTTGGTGGCCAACTTGATGGCATGTTTTTCCAGAAAGCCTTGTCACTCTCATTGATTAGAAAAGGAGGGCCGATGACGGACTGTCAGTTCAACAAATAACAAATATTTCTCTTTAATCAATCGTTGTCTATTCCCAGCTCTTGATGTTGACTTGCGTCAATGGTCACTTCTGTCAAATTGTACAACGGAATAATTGTCGAAAAATTGTGCATGTGTCAATCCATGGCCAACTTGATGGCATATTTTTCCACAAAGTCTGTTATCACTCTTATTTGTTAGAGAAGGAAGACCGATGACAGACTGTCAATTCAACAAATAATAGAGTTTCAATCAAGTGTCGTCTATGACTCTTGAAGTTAACTGTCAATAGTCACTTCTGTCCAATTGTACAACGAAGTATTTGTCAAATAATTGTGCATGTGTCAATCCATGGCCAACTTGTGGGCATATTTTTCCAAAAAGTCTCTTGTCACTCCTATTTGTTAGAAAATGAGGGCGGATGACGGACTGTCAATTCAACAAATAATAGAGTTTTTTTTTCAATAAAGTATTGTTTATTCCTGGCTCTTGAAGTTAACTGTCAATAATCACTTCTGTCAAATTGTATAACGAAGTGTTTGTCGAATAATTGTGCATGTATCAATCCATGGCCAACTTGATGGCATATTTTTCACATCTCTTGTCGATCTCATTGATTAGAAAAGGAGAGCCGACAACGGACTGTCAGTTCAACAAATGATTCAATCAATTTTCGTCTATCCCCGGCTCTTGAATTCAGCTGCCAACTGTCAGTTCTGTCAAATATATATGTTCAAATGGTAAATAATTGTCACCAGTGTCACAAATTGTACCACCGGTGGATTGCAAATAGAAAAAAAAATGACGGTATAACATTAGAAAGCTTTTATATTTTTGACAGTTGATTGGGGGAATGCATGGCCCACGTGATTTTGCCAGAAAGTCTATCTCTCTCTTATTGATTTAATCGATTGAAAAAGGATAGACGAAGATACGCAAGAAATAAATCTATAAATTATTGCTCGTGCCTTTGTATGATTTAGTGAAGCAAATTTGGGACAAATGGAAACGCAAATTTCTAAATTTTTTAAATCACCGCCATTCAATGCAATTTCAGTAATTTTAACATTGGAATTGCCCCAATAAATCTCGAAACGTTTCAAATGGTACAATATAAAAGTAACAGCGATTTCCATTTGTCGAACCAGTGCAAAAAAAATGTATCCTTATCCTTACATGTTACATGCTTTTAGAAAAAGATGCGAATACACTCAGTGCGCACTGATTGACAAATGGAAATCGCCATAAGACATTTCACTTTCAATTCTTCCCAATCCTACTACTTAACCGACTAACTTTACTCGTACTGCCTTGTCATTTAACTGTTGCATGTGTCAATCCATGACCCACTTGATAAACTACTTTCCTAGAAAGTCTTTTGTCACTTTCATTGATAAATACACTGTTGATATGAAGTTTTAAGAATCATAAGTCTAACTTTTTAAATCTAAAATTTAAGACGCCGAATTCAAATATTTTGTAGGTAGTGAAAGTGTAGAAATTCGGTACGAGGCTGTAAATATGTCAAAAAACGATACACGGCTTCTGTCATATTTTTGACAGAAATATATTTCTAAGGATGAACCTGTACGACGGAGACCTTAATTGCAGACTTTGCAATAAGGAACCCGAGACAACCAGACACGTCCTGGTGAACTGTGAGGCACTGGATCGCAGAAGACACAGCATTTTCGGGCAACCAATTATAGAACCGGAAGCAATAATGAAACACCACCCAGTAAAAGAATTGTACAACCTCGTACAAGGCACAAAAATACTGCAGTTGTTAAGGAATTTATTTCATAACATCCTCAAGATTTGTTCAGGATTTTGTTAAAATCTTACCTTATCAGGTGTGTCATCTCTTGGCGATATAGGGGGCGAAGCTGGCACCCCCAATTCGTAAATATTAACCATATGAGCTGCTTGTGCGTGCACCATCAGGTCCCAGGCATTTTGAAAAGCATCTTTACACTGTACACATAATAGGGATGTTGTCGTCTGTTCATCGAGTGATGACCCTGGAAATAAATTTATATAAAAGTCATTATGAGTTTATTAAATCCGTTAAGATGTCGCAATCTCGTTAGCGTAAATTCAAAGGTACGAAAACAGTTGAAAAGTATTATTATTTCCGTTTTAAAAACATATATTTCTTCATTAAGCCCGGTTTTGTAACTATTATATGCAATGCAGCTTCAAGATTAAGGAGCGAGGAGTAATTTATATGAAAGACTCAGGTGGTGCACATTAAAGCCCTCTGCAAGATGACTTGACTCACTCGGATTTAACCGACTTTAAACTTTCTGATAAAGACGAGTTTCTATTTATTTAAAAAAGGTTTTAGCTAAAATTTCCTACTTACTTGATTTACTACTACTCTCACATTTACAGGTAAATCGTAGCTTACAATAAGTTTTCTTGTGTTCCAACAAATCGTGTAGATCCGAAAACATCTCTCTACAGTTTCCACAAATGAGGATGTCTTGATTGCCTGCAAAAAAAATTGTAGAATTTTAATTGACATCGATAAATCTTGCCTCTTTAGACACATAAATTTTATGGCTTTTCAATGAAAATTTTTCGTTTCTTAGAGGATCTAATCTCGGATTGATTTATTTCGGTCTGATTCAATTTCGTTTGAACAAACTATTTTACGGATTTCGAGAATTTATGGGGCCCGATTAATTTACATTTGACATAAAAAAGCAATAATTTAGAATATACCTAATTCAAGAATATGTATGTTTTGGATTGCAATTGCAAAGGTAATATTGAAAAATATTTTTTGGTTTAACAATGGTACCTGGAAAAAAAAAATTAACACGAAAAACGCAGTTTTACGATTACGCGAAACTGCTACAATAAATTAAGAGAATAAAAGGCTAGAAAACACAATAATTAAACCAGTAGAGGCGAAATAAACTCGGTCGTTCCAGTTAAAGTAAGATTTATGCGAAAAAGAAATGAGTGCGAAATGGACGCTTTTCACACCCAGGAACAGCAGCAGCGTTAATGAAAACGGGCGAGTTTCATAACCTTTATGATGGAGTTTTTGGCGGGATATGTCTTTGTCAAGTGGGAAATGTATTTTTGAGTGTTCTGGAGCTTTGCTAAAAGAGTTACAATGGAGCTTAGGGTTGAACATGTCTAGTGCAGACATATAGAAGAGGCATCGATGATCACGAACTTTTCAGAGCTATTTCTAAATCATTACAAATTTATTGTGTAGTACTGTGAAGCTGTTAGGCATTAGCTGACGTCACACACATAACCTCACTTTCGATGGGGGACAAACAAAGCGTTTAAAAATGTACACAAACAAATGTAAATAATTTTTAATGTTGATTTTGTGTCCTGATAAATGACTTTCTAGATTTAACGTGGGTTGTAGGACTTGGCAGTCTTGGCACAAAGAAAACTCAATTTTCACTTGGTAACGTTTCGTACATATATGTATTAGTACTTTTTCAAACACTAAAACGTACAAACAAACTATTAGAATGGGTCACATAGGTCAAAATAGTGTATAAAATTTGACAAATAAACTAAGTAGCTACTGACAAACAGAGAATATCTATGGTAAAAATAACAAAGCAATAACTTACTCGTAAAACAATTAGTCTTTATACTGTAGTATAACATACCCGGGTTCGTTCAGTAAGATTGAAGAAAAATTTGTGAAACGCCTACTTTATTATTAAAGTAAATCGTAACGTTCTCATCCTGGAACTAACTAACGAAGGGCAAGAGCACGGCAGAGAAACCCTCGATCTACATTCCTCAAAAATCGAAACATACTGTGTCATTTTAATAATAATTGTGAGTCATTAATTCAAAACAAATTGCCTTCAGATGATATGAAAGGGGTTGTTTAAATTTCAACACCCTGTATTTTGTAAACGACGCACTTCCGACCATCGGTATCCCATCTAAAATTACTTCTCTATGGTTCCTCTATATAGCCTAGCATTTTTGACCAGCTGAACGGGGACATCCTGTATAATACAGTATCACCTATTTTGAATGCCCGCTCTCGCTCTACCACGCTATATTTCGAAAACGGTTGGTCGTACAAAGAAATGTAAAAAAACAATTTTGTAGAAAATACTATTTTACGTAAGTTTTGTTTGGGGTTCTTTGACGTCAAATGCACTGGAAGCGAGATTTTCGCAAAAAGACGATTTTCGTGATCTTTGACCTTCGATATCTCAAGACGCACAAGGGTAGGCATATTCGATTTTTTCATGCTTCATTAGAACATTAAAATGAAGGCCTCTGCAAAAATTCAGCTTGTTCGGTCTCATTCCGCAGATGGCCCTTTTATTGGTCTAATTTCCCTGGGGTATATGTACGAAACGTTACCAAGTGAAAATTGAGTTTTCTTTGTGCCAAGTCCTACAGCCCACGTTAAATCCAGAAAGTAAATACATATTTTTTGTTTTTCCAAATAACATGTTTGTCCCCTATCGAAAGTGACGTTATGTGATTTTTCACGTAATAGCTAGCCTAGCGCCTAAGTGATGTGTTCTTAAACACTTTGTTCGTCCCTCCATCGAAAGTAAGGTTAAGTGTGTGACGTCAGCTAATGCCTAATTGCAAGTTTTGAAGACATTTTCTTTCAGTTCTTAGTCAAAACTCGTCGGTTCTAGTTTGAAGTGTAGTTGATGTTCTATTCACGGTCCTTCGAGCCGGATAAGAAAGACTTGAATAGAAGTGCAACATTTCTATGCACGCTCGCTCTCTAGAAGGAACGATGAGCTGAAATAGGGTTTTGCATAGATATTCTTAATTGCCTCTCTGAGCCTGGTTTCAACTTTCTGGCCCCTAATGACCAAACCTTAGTTCATTTTGATGTTCTTTGTTTTAGTCGGTTCAAGGAATAGTCAGTTATATTTTCTAGAACTTCATCGCCCAGATTCCTTGATGGTGTTACAGGTATCCCATCAAGATTTCCAGCATCAGAATCGTTGTAATTGAGTTGTTGAATGGGATATGGTTCACTACATTGGTCGTTATTTTGATCATTAGGTTCGTTTCTATATGTTCTACATTCCACATTCATATCTTCATTGGATGTTTCTTGATGCAGAGCAGAATTTCTTTTTGGCGCAAGGTGGCGTGTTGACATAGTTTTTTCTTTACCATTAACTAATCTAATATGAGCATACTCAGAGTTAGCTTCTAGGAGTTGCACTTCTTCCACGATCGGTTCATACTTGCTTTGTCTTACATGGTTCTTTAGGAAGTCTGAACCAGGAATACTCAACCAGGTTGGAATTGAAGAACCATTTGTGGATCTTCGAGTATGAGAGAACATTCTTTCATGCGGTGAACAATTTGTTGCTGTACATAACAAAGACCTTATTGAATGTAAAGAGCCGACCAGTACCTGCTGCCAATGTCTTATATCCATGATTCTTGATTTTAGAGCTAACTGAATGGTTTTCCATGTAATACCATTATACCGTTCACACTGCCCGTTTCCTTGCGGGTTATAAGGAGTAGTGCGACTAGTTGCAATCCCATGTCGTGTTAGGAATGTTTTCAGTTCTTCAGACATAAATGATGCCTCCCTTGTTTGATAATGTTATTCATATTTCTCTGAAAACAAGCAACGCCATTGGTCACTCCAAAAGGAATTCGAGTGAATTGGTATAGATTTCCACATGCTTCAAAGGCAGTGTATATACGTTCATGCTCTAGAATTGGTATCTGGTGATATGCACTATGAAGTTCTATCGAACTGTCAGGTACGATGGTATTCCAAAAACAGAAAAAAATTGAGCTAAGCAATTTTCAATAGTTGATGGGGTCATGTCAGGACAAATAAAGCCAAATGGGAATCTAGAAAATTCATCCACAATAGTCAAAATATAGCGGTTTTGGTTCTCAGATGGAAATGGACCTTCAAAATCTATATTTATTCTTTCGAAAGGGGCAGTAGCTTTTATGATGGTCCTTTGATTTCTATGAAACCTTGGTTTGATCTCAGCACAAACGGGACAGGTGGCTGAAATTCTTTTGATATCGTCTAGTGAGAAAGATAGATTCTTACATCGGATCCAGTGATACAGATGACAGAGAGAATTATGTAGATTATACAATGTTTTGTCACTAGAAGAAGGTAAAATCGCAGAAGATATTCTTGAAAATGTATCTGCCACGATATTTTGATTTCCAGATCTGTATATGATATCATATTTATAAAATGATAGTTCCAGACGCCACCGAATTATTTTTTCATTTTTGATTTTAGAATTACTTAGTGAATTGAACATAAAAGCGACGGATTTCTGTTCAGTTACAAGCTTATAGTAACGTCAGATCAGAAAATGTCTCCATTTACGAAGTGCTTCCACTATAGTATAGGCTTCTTTTTCTACGGAAGAATGTCGCTGTTCCGATTTCGTCAATGTTCTAGAGAAAAACGCCACTGGTTTTCCAGACTGTACAGGTTGAGCAGCAATAGCATATTCCGATGCGTCAGTTTCAATAGTAAAAGTGGCTTCATAGTCGATGGAAATAACAACAGCGTTTTGGAATAATGGGCAAGCATGCCTAGAACTCTCTTGAGCGAATCAGTATAAGTAGGTAGTGGCAACTGAATCAGTGGTTCAAGTCTGTCTATATCAATCTGGTTTGATTGATTTTCGTTCTATTTTATGCCCTAGTATATTAATTTTAGTCATGCCAAAGTTGCATTTCTCTTTGTTAAGCGTCAGATTATATTTCTTAACAACTTCTAAAAATCGTTTGAGATTTGTATCATGATGCTCTTTATTATTACCACAGATGGTTACGTCGTCAAGAAATGCATATATGTCTTCTAAATGTTCTTGTTTGATAATGTTATTCATATTTCTCTGAAAACAAGCAACGCCGTTGGTCACTCCAAAAGGAATTCGAGTGAATTGGTATAGATTTCCACATGCTTCAAGAAAGGCAGTGTATATACGTTTATGCTCTAGAATTGGTATCTGGTGATATGCACTATGAAGATCTATCAAACTGAAATATTCATACTGAGAAATTTGGTTGACCATATCTTCAATCTTGGTTAACGGGTATGCATCCAAATGTGTATATCTATTTATGGTCAATGAGTAGTCAGTAGTCTATAACCATTCGCTTCTTATGATTTTCATTACTGGTCACTAGCACCTGGGCCCACCACGGGGAATTGCTTGGCTCGATTATTTTCTCTTCTAAAACTCTTTGCACTTCAGCTTCAATGAATTTTAAATCAACTGTGGAGTATTTGCGAGATTAAATCACAATAGGCATTTAGGTACAATTTTCTGTCAAATGTTCGAATAATGGATATGGTTCTACCTGTGGCTCTACCTTAGCGATAGTCAAATTACATATGGCGATCGGTGGTTTGCTTCCCCCGAAACTGAATTCTATTCCTGAATGTTGTTTGAGAATATTATGTCCAATTTTAATATCAGCACATAGTTCTTCTAGAATGTAAAGTCTGGTATTTTTATAGATATTGTCAAATATCTTTATATCAGCTTTGCAAAATCCACCATTTGCATTTCGATTAGGGCTTTTGGTAAACTGACAGGAGAAGTAATTCCAGATATCCCCATCAAAAGAGCAGAAGGTGTTTTTTATTTTTCGATTGACAGACCTGGGTGAAATGACCTCTCTTTCCGCAGTTGTAACAAATAGAATTTTTCGCTGGACATTTATCTCTGGCATGTCTAGATCTACCAAAAAAATAGCATTTGGAAGCGACAGCTGCTATAGCATGGTCATTTTCGATCTGTACATTCGAAAAATAATTGACAGGAGTTTGATGAGAGATCGCAGCATTCATATTTGAACAGAAAAATGTAAGATAAGATTCGGAATGTTGCTGAGCCATTTCAAGTGCTTTAGTAGTATCAAAATGCTTGTGTTAAGCTCAAAGTGCAATGTTCCAAAAGCGTATCTGTCTTATATGAGAAGAAGTAAGACCAGTTATGAAAGTATCTCTGATGTAATTGTCCCTATTTTGATCTGCATTGACTGCTTTAAAATTGTAGTTTTAACTCATGAGCTTCAGGGCTTGTAACTTGTTGTTTTCTTGACGATAATGAGTGTCTGGCAAATATATCATTCTTTGACTTGACATATATGTATATAACATAGATGTTCGTATACGCAAAGAAGAAACGACAGAATATTCTCGGTTTCGGCCTTGTGGCTTTGTATTATTCAGTACCTAGTGAATTAGGTAAATTTGATTGCAGCAGAAACCGGAAGGCGCTACAGAACTGTTCAATTTTTTTCAGGGCGCAGAAGCAAAAATGATTTGTTTGTTGTGATACTTAACTAAATCTGGTAGTTCCAATAATTGATACTTACTATAAATTTTAAGTTGTTCCAAAGGCGGCACGGGTGTAGTTGCTTTTATCGTGTGATTATTCTTGCCATTCCTAGCTGTGCTCGCCATTAATCGTTGTCTTTTCAAAGGTGGTACGATTCGCGTAGGTCCCACGGGAAAGGCCGTCGAGGCGTAATAACTGCAAAATTAAAAACAAAAAGGTGTTTATTGTGTTTTGAAAGTTTCACCGCCGCAGAGTGCAAACTTTTCGAAAGTTTTTTTCTGTGCTTGCTTCATTAGCACTTCCGCCTAGTTGATGGAACTTTTTAAAATATTCATCGACAATGTTTCTTGGAAGAACAATCAAAGTTTAATGAGGCGTTTTTGCTATTCACCGTTTAAAAGTTTCGAATTTATGGAGAACTATTATCGCGGCATTAAAAAACAAATTTGCGAAATTTACATGAATCAATAAACAATTTCTGTTTAATTACACCCTGTATACTGCATTGTCTAATAGTTAATTGAGCTTATGCAATTTTTCTGTCTACGAAGTGCTTTATTCCACAAAGTTCTATCATTAATTCACTTGAAAATTCAAAGTAAATAAATCGGTTCCAAAGAGAGTAAATATTTGCTCCCCATTTGGCAAAAATATCCATTTTAAAAAGTAGCTAGAGTAGACTATTTTCGAGAATACCGATTTTAAAGTGCTCTCTTCAGCTAATTGGTCGAAGTTTTGTTCAAATTTGAGCACCAGTGATTAATTTTTTTTAAATGAAAATTTCTGTTATTCAAGCCACATATTGTAATTTTTCCTGGAGTTAATAATAACGGAAAAATGATGGATCTGCAAGAAAGTCTGCAAATGCTTCTACCGAATACATCATAATCATAATGTAGTTTACGTTGACTGTAATAATATAGTTGGCAGATGCAAAAGCTTATAAAGACAAATATCTAATTTACGTGCTTGCCTGATTTAGTTAAAAGTTACTTTGGATGTGTCATGAGGTATAGGTATCTGTTTTAATTTGTATTTAATTGAAAAATGCATCAGGTTATTTTGGGTTCCAGAATCACTGAATATTTATAATGGTTAGGTCAAAATCAATCTGTTGAATTTTAAGCCAACTAGCAAAAATAGTTGAAAATTAATTTCCTTGTAATTTTCCATTGTTTAAATTAATTTATTGTAGATGGTAATAACTCCAAGAAAGCTATAATTACCTTTCTTAATAGCCATTTTATTTATAATTAATGCTGGAAAACTTAATCTTAATATTAAAAGATATTTTGTTCCATCAACTGTTTACCTCCTACAATTTTTTTCTTGTTGAGAATTTGTGTCCTAATGGTCAGTTGGAATCCCCCTAACTCCATACACTAAATTATTTTGAGATTGGGAGCCAGATTCTATGAAAAAAGGCACTCACAAAAATTGAAAAATTAATAAATCACCCCCAATTGCTTAACACGATTTTATCTCAGGAACTATAAGTCCAAATGAATGAGATTGTAGTCCTCTACTGGGATAAGAATCGCTGAAAATTGCAATTTCAAATTTTTTGTTGTTGAGATTTTGTGTCCTTATGTTTCATCGGAATTCCCCAAACTCCATACACTGTCCATTTCTTCCCTCTATATACAAAATATTGTTAGTTCTTATTAATCCAAAAACTACCTCAAGTTTTTAATACGATAAAATTTAAACTAACCTATCATTCCTATCAATTCCAGTGCTATCCAAATTTAAATACGACAAGGCTGTTGAAGGCACTTTAAAAGCAATAAAGGATCTGGCAGGGGATGCGACAAGTGACCCGGATTGTCCTTGTTCCCTCGAAACTTATGAATTTTTCAATCCTTCCTACATAGATAAATTTGAAATCGATCATGGGACAATTTGAACTTTGGATAATTGATTTTATTCCTAACAGGTTCGAATCTTATTGTGAGGCAAATTCGGACAAAATGCCCGAAGCTCCCAAGTGACCAAAGCAGACAATGTGACACTTATTTGGATCCTAAATAGAATTTGATGCCCTATTTTATTTTGAAACAGAATCTAGGATTGAAATTGCTAAAGCGAGATGCGTCGTATAAAGACACTTTCTTTAATGCACCCGGAACGTTTTACCGGAGAATAATTACAAAAGCGAAATAAAGCGAAATTGACTGCAAAAAAAGAGTTATCTTCCACATACGACATATGGCTCTTTTTGCATGAAAGCTTTTAGTGTAAATGGAGTTTTAGAATCAATTTTTTTGATGATGCATGGAGTCTTTTGTATAACTATATTTTAAACTCAGATGATAAAGTGAACTAAATCACATAACCCAATTCGAAATTCTCCAATAGTGCCCAATATCTGTACTTAAATCCCCTAAATTCTCTAGAAAGAACTCCTACTACCCCAGTTTTATAAGGACATAAATATACTCCTTATATCTGCCATCCTAAATTGGTTAGCTTTACTTGTCCGTATACAAATTTATATTTATGTACTTCCTTTTTATACAACAGACAAAAGAAGATCAATATAAATTTATAGGGAAAAGTAGCTTTTTCTCTTCTTGTTTTATTTTACTCCAGTTTCATTGGAAAAAGGAACTGACACTCTTATTTGCAGTTCATCTCCTAGAAATTCTTGTCTGGAATCTGGAATGGATTTTCAATATTTTTATTGTAATGAATTTTGTAGAAATGTTATCATGCTTTTTTCCGATCTGAAAAATGATTAATGCCCTTTTATTGGAGGTATGAGATATGAGGGAATTCAATAGGAATTCCGCTTGGCGGCTATCGGACATTCTTGCCATTGTTAGATGTTTTCAATTTGTTGTAAACTAAGTAAGTAGAAATAATAACCATAAGGCGATAAACGAAAAAATTTGAGATATTAAACTGGAAATTTTATTTTATTGGATAACACAAAAGCTACAAGCGTCACTTTTCGTTTAGATCTCAAATGATATATTTTCCTCCACCAGAGTGCAGAGGGAATAATCATATTTCAGAGAGATATTGCTATAGCCCCTGACAGTTCTACTATGCAAAACCGTCCCGAATTGCCAACTTTGAAATAAATAATAAATAAAAACTATACCATGTATGCATAGCAATACTTATATCTATTTGTTTTATAGTTAATGTTAGCCATAAAAGTTAGGTTTGGGCAATTTCATTTTCTTTTCATTATTAATAATGAGTGCAATTCGTCAGCTGTCCTCCAAAGCTAACCGAATACAGATTCAGAATCGATGGTTTTAGCTGTGCAACGGACAAGCCGTATTACGTCTGCTAGAAAGGTCATTAATGACGTGGCACAAATCTTATACGAGCTCAGTTTTATCATAGTGTCAACACCAGTTGCCTGCGACAATACTCTCTGGACCATTATGTATAGGTTTCTTTCTTCCGTAACGGAATTATGGGTTTGCTCTAACATAACGGATTAAATCAATCAGTAATCCGTCTCGCCGACTAAAAAAAGGTAAATCTCGCATGCAATCCACTATTCACGTGGCAAGTTCAGAACGAGATTTAGAAAAAAGTTCCAATATTAAAAGTTTCACACCCCGTCCACAAAGATAGTTCAGCGACTTGAATTACTTGTCAAACGATTAATTGAACATGACACTACCTCGAGGGCAGGTCCGAGTTAGATTTTTGTGAAACCGGAGTGCATACCGGAGTTTAAACCAGGAGATCCTAACCTAAGCTGTGCAAAATGGACAGATAAAATTGAACAGTTGGCAAAAATCAATCGTTGGGATGAACACACTAAGGTTTTTCATATGCAGAGCCGATCAAGTGGCCTAGCTCGAAAGTGGTACGATAACTTAGTCTCGTACGACTTAAACTGGAAGAGTTTGCTTTTGAAAACATTTCCCGATTACCAAGATTTTGCTACGTCTCTTAGAAAACTAATGAACAGAAGAAAGTTACCATCCGAAAGCTGGGAAGAATACTATTTTGAGAAAATGGACCTAATAAATGCTTGTGAGATAAGTCCTAAAAATGCAGTTTCCGGCATAAAAGATGGAATAAGTTACCCGACCATCCAAGTGGGAGCGCGAGCTGAATGATATGAAACCCCCGATGTCCTTTATGCAGAGTTTCTTTCGTGGTTGAATCAAGGCAATAACATGCATAGAAAATTTTTCAAATCCTGGACCTGCTAGGAAACCCTTCTACCCGTACGCTCGGCGTAATTTTGAGGATTTCTCGAAGAAAGCCAAAAGTAATCAGAAACACGAACAGAAGTGCTATAATTGCAAACTGACAGGCCTTTTCTCAAATACATGTCCAAACCGCGACTTGAGTGTAGACGGTGCAAGAGATTGGGGTATTTAGAAAAAGATTGTCATCGACCTCCAAGGAACCAGTTAGTGGTAGAACCAGCAACTCTCAACAACGGAACAACGAAGAATATTTCTTTGTGTCAAAAATGGAAAGCGAACGAAAGCTTATATTGACACAGGATATGGTGCTGTGCTGATCAGAGAAGCGCAACTCGCGAATTCGATATGATAATTCCATCTAGTCCAGTAATGATAACTGGATATGGTGCATCTCTAGTGGCTGCGGTTGGTGAGACAAATTTTACCATCGAGATAGACCAAGCAAAAGCTAACGTACAAGCTTTAGTAGTAGCAAATGCGGCCCAAGACGGTCATGGTTGGTCAACCATTCTTAAGTTCACCTGATGTTATGATGATTGTGGCTAACGGAAAAGTCAGGATACTCTCTTCACACGACGATTTGGGTGAAGTACTCCAATCGAAGAGAAAAATACTACTATGGGCAAAGGAGGCTGTGGGGGTCCCTTCCAGAACTTCGGTGCTCGTAACTGTCACTTCGCGAGGTGCAATAAATGGAGAAGTCTACGTTCTCGGAGGCTTAAGAGCCCAGTCACTATATTGGAGAATGTGTTACCCAAGGTATTGAGGTGAGTACAAAAAATATTTTGGTACGTTGTGTGCAATGTTTTGGAGACAAATCTTTTTGAAGTGAATACTTCTTTGGCCGGATGAGAGTGATTTTTCAAGGTCGCGTCACGACATGATTTATACAATTTTCGTCTCGCAAGTGAGATGAAGCATATGATGAATATGAGGGAGGGAGAGAGAAAGAGATGGTAAATGAAAGAGAGTATTGTTCTTAATAGTGGAGTTCCCTCGTACGAAATTTTG